GATAATAAAATTTTTTAAACAATAAATTGTATCAAGGTTATCCATGTATAATGGGTGTTATGTATGAATTCTGCAAATATCAAATGAGTATTGTCTAGAGATATTAATATAATACAAACTTTGGAAATGCATTGTATTCCATCCATAACACAACATGAAACACATGAATATATCAATTAATGTGAGGTTCACCCTATCGTGAGGTCACGCCACGATTGACCATAGAGAAATTCAAGCTTTTTGAAACGGTCTTTTCAAATTATTTTCAATTATTAGTGTCACGCTTTGATTTTCGGTTTGGATAGGGATGTTTCGTTTGATTCCTAGATTGGATCTCGATCTGCCACGGACACTACGATCGGGTTCCCCGAATAGGGACTATCTTGTACGTACGGATACGCGTTCACCAATAACCATTGAGCTCCGTTACGATATGATACGATTGTCTAAGCGATGTCTTTCACGATCATGATCACCGGTTGATCCGATTATCAGATCATGAAGTCAGTAATAGCAATTATTTTAATCGTAGAAACAAATCTGAACGGCTCACAAATTGTCTATTATCAACACGACCAAATGTGATCATCATATCAGATCGTATTACATCGTAACAAAGCGCGACTGATTGCATTTAATCAAGCTTTCAAATCGTGGTGATTGAGGTCGAAACCATCCGAAATTGTTCAAAATAAGACATATTCAGAGAAAGACTCAAATCCTGTCCTAAGTCACTTTTTGTCAAAATCTATTTTAGTTTATGCTGTTGATGGGTAGAGGTGGCTCTAGTTTCCGTTAGGGCACAGTTGTAGCTCAATCACCCCTGAATCTAGGGACTAGATCACAACTGTGCATTTATCATATCATATCATCGGGTAACCCGATCGTGTTAAATTGAGACCATATCTTGAACTCAATCGAAACCATCCTATTAGAACGTCTATGGTTGTATCAGAACTACTTTTTAGTTTTTAACACCTTGAATTTTCAAATCGTGAACAGATCGCATACGAGCGCAACGCCGTGTATCAGAACGTATAACCTCGTATCACAAACTTAAGGTTTCAGAAAAGCTCCGCGATAAGCAATGAATTGCATTAAAGCAGAGCTGTCTGAAATCAGTCACCATTACGACCTCAGAAACCCAGATTCATTCACTTTCATCTAAAAGATACATTTATATCAGTCATGCCAGCAAAAATGGTCGACCATGAATTCATGAATTCGGAAGACAAGCTTCAACAGGCTTTTCTTGGAGAAACTTTATGTCATTGAATTTAATAATGTGACCACTTTTGATTTGTTCAAAGTATATGAGTACCGGTAGTCGTTTGAATCAGACACAAAATTGCTGTTAACAACCGGACTGTTTCCCTTTGTGCTGGAGAATCAATAGTAGGTTTAATTGATATGTTGATGAATACACACTTAGACTTGGCGGATATAAGTACTTTTCTTTTTTGTTTTATTATATGAAAACTAAAAGCACTACAGGTAGCTTTAAAGATGGTTACCCTTATTGCTAATATCATTTCGGAACTGAAACGTATTTCAACCACAATGGTTATTATACCGTATGATATTTTAAGAGACTTCCTAACATTTGTAGATGTTGGGACACTTGAAACGTTTATTTGCTTCATCATCACGATGCCTGAACTTCCCAGAATTCCCAGAAATAAAATGGAGCACATTATAATATGACTGTCGCAAATGCCATTCAATCTAATTAGAATTTCTAATTTGTCGGGAAATCGGATTAGTCAAAGAGGGACTGTCACCAACGCAGATGAAAATAGAAAATCTCTTTTGAATCTTTGTATAAGATTGTAGAAGACTTCATTGAAGTTTAGGAGAATCCTTCTTTAATTTTCTTAAATCTCGAGGGACCATTTTCTTGTCAACAGTCTTTTTTTTTATAGTTATAGACTCTAGCAATACAATCATTATGCTAAAAACCAAGATAAACGAATTCGATTTTGTCTCAGAACGTCAAAATGTACATGGGTACAGAAATTGTTATTTTGCTCGGATTCATTGCATTTGGAATTAAATCTTTCGGCAACTTTAGATACAGAGCCACTAAAGTGTTCTATGATGATGACAATTGTGAGTTTACTGACCCAATTGCATCTTTCATTTTCAAAACATTAATTTCATGTACCGTAGAATGTTCTGGGAATGAAAATTGTAGAAGAGTTCGGGCGTGCAATGTGGATACGAACGTAGTACAATGCCACCTATATTATGAGGGAGAAAACTGCGTTAGTCAACAACCTGAAAACTGCACCTGTATGTCGAAGGTAAGTGATACAGCATTCCGAATTCAATACCACATATTTGCGAAACATTAGAAGCAGCTATTAAACTTTTCACATGAGTAAGGATATCAATAATAAATGAGTAAGTTTTTCATTATGAAGGGGAATAAAATCTCTATACAGTCCATAGGATTCACTTATAAGATAGAAAATTATTCGAGACGTTTCTTTTCGAAACTATTGCCTACATAATCCATTTAAAATTTTAATCCTTGGTTTATATTAGGGTTTTAGATTTTATGAAAATTATATCGTTTGAAATTTCATCCATGCATGTTTTCATTTTACCTTTTAGACATACGGTACAGTTGCTGGAAAAACCTTTTGCCCTTTAGGTTTTTATGGCTCTCAATGTGAAAACACTATAAGAGGTAAGATATTTCTTTTTCGATTTCGTCCCAGGATTCAATTTAAGCGTTATTACAACGTAATATGCGAGTCAAAATATCCCCTTTTGCGATCCAATATTTCTTATGATTTTCCAAAATTAAAACTTATCTGCGAATAAAATAAAATGATTTATTTTTCTTGAGAATTTTTGTCAAATCTAATTGTAAATCTAGGCATCTAGACCGTTTAGCATATAAATATCCATTATTTCTAATTTAATGATTACTTTTTTTATTATATAATTTATACGTCATTGAAGAGATCGATCTAATAATCTACAACCGAGGTCTGTCGATTTTTTATCAAGTGCGAATCCAATTTTTAATGAAATAGTAATGTTTTATATACGTTTTATTCAAGGGAAGGAATTCTGCGCAATTCAGTTTGACCACTGAGACTACTTATGATAATTATTTATATACAATGTTCGTCGGTACTGAAAGATAGTTTCTAATCCTTCAGAGAAATTACCACCCTTAATAAGTCTTCGGAGTACTGTAATTCGAAGCGTTGCACGGAGATACAATAAGTACCTCTCAATATAAGAAAATACCCCCAGCTATGGATCCCTCTGTTTCTGTCCCTGCAGTTTGATAGCCCTCTAACGATGTCACTCTTCGTTAGCTTCCCACTCCAATAACTAACTTTCTTCTAATCATGTACGTTTAAACTACTCATCAACTCTCCCCTATACGCCGTGTCCCTTAATTTTCAGTGCCTTCTGTCACTCTACTCTCACCCTTTTAAATCCAGTGACAGTACTCCCATATCTTCCCATCCCTTTGTAGTAGCTCCTGATTCCCAATCTCTTCTCCCGTTCACTGTGCTTCCCCTTTCTCTCACTTCTTTTCCTTCCACTCTACGGCGTATTTGCCCCTTTTTAAACCACACTCCCTACATCCCCAGTCTCTCCCACCTTCCACTCCTCTGTTTACCAAACTTTCCTTGTTCTCTAATATGCCCCCTTACATCATCATCTTTTCTTTCTATCTACTTCTAAATTCATTTACTTATCTAAGTCTCAATTTCTTTTCTCCCTTGCACCCCTATCTTTTCTTCCTTCCAATCTTCTCCATGGTTCAATTTAAACGTCATCGTAGTTTTCAAAAATGACCATAACAATCCAATTAGCCAAAATTAAAGTTCATCACGAACGATCTGTAAATCCAGTGGTCTTCGTAAAACTTGAAGAACAATAGAAATCTTAGCCTAGAAATAACTGAATTCATTATAGCTAACTTTACAATATGACTATTTCATTATTCTTTATATATGTATATAGTATTCTTTCGTTCGGCATTAGACGTCATTTGCGAGATCGATCTTGAGTCTACAACCGGAAAGTTTTGAACTGCTGAAACCGAAATTTTATGTAATCTGTATAAGAGTTTAAATTGATCACTCGAAACTGAAATTTGGAGTGACTAATTTCCAATCAAATTTTTCTATTGAAATTAACCGTGACGTCCGTGTATATATAGATGAATTTGTAGGTTGATATATATTTATAAAATCTTATTTTACTATGATATTTTACATAACAATTGAACCCGATATTTGTAACACCAACCCCCAACTACGTATGGATGTTACTTTGATATAACACACACGAACATAGTTCATAGCCATTTTGATTTTCCATGATTAAAGGTTGTAATAGTTCAACAAAGCCCTCAAGTCATAGCTCTATCTAAACCTGTAGATTTGATTTGCTTTGAAATGAAAAGAATGGAGTTTATTGCTTACTTTTCTGCACCATGTGGGCTAATGAAGACGGGCAACTCCATGCAGGTTGCAATGAGTGAAATTGCCAGGACAGCGGAATTAGCCTGCTCTTTTTCCAGCTGTCGAGGAATCTTTACCTACAAAGCCTGTAGCACATGAGGCCTCGCTTTTTTCCATGTCAGTCGTTTGACCTGCATCACTGACAGGGGGAAACCGGGTTAAAAAGATCTCGAAATATAAATCTGGTTTGAAGACTTATTTGAATTATAATAACCTTTTTTCAAAATTAGACATTTTCGAGGAAGAGATTCCCACAATCCCCAAAAACTGGCGCCACCACTGCAATCAGCTTATACTTCATTAACAAATTCTTTTACTAGAAGTCATTTAAATCCATTTTTTACAGATTGTAGTGAAGGTCATGTCCATGATTTGGATAATCTTTTTACAACGTGGGTTCGTGCTTATATCAAACCATTGACATCCTCAAGTGCCTTTGAGGTTGTTTGTGAATTGAGATATAATGGTATGACTCTATTCATGGCACGAAACTGGAAATGCCAAGATATAAATTTCAACAGAAACATAACAGAATATGTTGACGGTTTTGGCGATGTTTATGGCGATCACTGGCTAGGACTGAGAAAAATCAAGGAAATTTTAGGCAACCACGCAAGACACAAATTATCAGTTATTCTTATGAATAACGATTACTGCGAAAACTATTACGATGATTTTTCTATCGGTTCGGCAGCTAATTGGTATCCAATAAATTTTGGACAGTACATGTTAGTGTCAAACAAATGTGGAGATTCATTAACTGGCAGTGTCAGCATCGAAGGATCGTCCTTTTCGGCTCGTGGTAAGGACCTGACCGCACACCAATGTTCTACTGTACATCAAGGTGGTTGGTGGTATGTTAATACTGCAGAGTGCAGTGAGAGTTCTTTTATGGGCTCACGGGAATCTATGTATTGGCCTTCAGATAAAGGTAGTGTGCCACAGAGTTATGTTGGCATGAGAATACTACCATATTAACGTTAATCAATGAAAATATCAAATTCTAAGGACGGAAAAGGTGTGGATTTTTTTTCTTTTTAAACCAAAAAGGAAACTTATGTTTTTTCTTAAATAGAACACTAAATCAACACTTGGATTTCTGTATATATGTTCCAACTAAAGTTAATATGAATATTGGTAAAAACCTTTTCGATCTACGTAGAGTATTCCTGAAAATCATTGTTTTGATGTCTGTAGATATATCTGTGGACCGATTTACATTAAGTTTTCATCATTGTAACAAAGTGTATTAAATTGAAAAAAAAAAATATTTTGTCCAAAAATATTATTCCAAAATTTCGACTCGACTGCTAATTATTTAAGGGTTGGTCTAAAAAATTTACAGGATATAAAAAATCTCCATTTTTTATTCAATTTGTATCATTTCTTTTGAGAACTTTTTTTTAAATTTTTAAAGTCTACATCTCGTATGTTCTGATTATGTCAACATTTTGATGGTCATCATCAACGGTTCTGAACTCTCATTAGAATGACCTTGACCTACCTAATCCATCAATGGGATGCTGATAGTGGCTTTATTGATTTTAATGTTAACCTTAAAACATTGCTTTTGTAGTTCTGTTCTTACAATTTTAAAATTGTTCGACCTGAATGACAAATCACGTGTATTGATTCCCCATCAAAGTGATGACATAATCAGAATATACTTTGTATCCCCCTATTCACCCCCTGTGAAGAGGATTATGTAACATTGATAAAAAAAAAACTGTTGATTTGAAATTTTTACATGTTTATGAAATCAGTAAGTAAGAAACATTATTTAAAATTCGAACAGATGTGGAAATTTATTCTTTATTTCAAGTTCCCCCAAGTTCAATTTATGAAATCACAATCAATTGATTATCATTTATTTTAAAACCAGAAGACAACATTACTCTGCCTGTTTGTCAGTAGGGCTGGCAGATGACTTTTGTACTATATGCGCATTTTGATTTCTACGGCCTGCTCAAGAGCAACGGGACAAGCTCTTGTACCACGCCCAGAGGTTGTTCACTGGTCAAACCTTTTATTATTATCTACTGAATTCTTATTTTCTTAAACCATTATCTTTAAAATATTTTCAACTTATTACGTGCAATAAGCTTACGCACTATGTTATAACTTAGCAATTACCATGACTATTAAAATTTTGAACAAAACCAAACCTAACAAATGTAGCTTTTGTATATTGTGTGTAAAACTTTGTAGTGTTATTTTTCAATATAATATTATATTTAAGTTTTCTCAACTTCTTTAATTCCCATACTAAGTTATTGATGAGTTAAAATCAATAACATAAAGATTTAAAAAGAAATATATCCCAATAGTTGAAAAAGGTTGATGGCCTTCGTATAGCCCCGTCACACCGGGCAGCGACCATTTGCAAACTTACGGCGACTCAAATGTTCTTGGTAACCGGAAAAATACAAATTCTACAACAGCACTGAGCTTGGTTGATTTTATTTTTATTGTGTTTATGGAGATGTTACGACGCATGTTTAAAGACATTTTCGATTCCGTGGCGATTAATGACGACAATATCGCCCATCGTACAGTATCTGACGCTTCGGTACGCTTATATCACGCTTATATGCACTGAGATAATTTTCCGTCGTCGTAGCAACTCAGTTAGGAAGCCTTTCCGGTGTGACCAAGTTATTAATATTTTAGATAATGACAACCAGATTTTAAATTTTCAAATAAATTTTGATCCCACCATTATAGGAATCAATAATCAAGTTAGGATATTATTTATCGAAGAAGGTTAAAGAGCTCAAACAATATTAGCTTGGTTGGAGTCGATTTTATAATCCAGTACACGATATAAGTAGTACGAGGAAACTTTCGACCGGAGAACAAAGCATTTTATAACCAGCTTGAACATGTATTTTGGCATGGTATTCGCTTTTTTGTTATATTTTTTCGTATTTATTCTAAGTTTTATGGATTTTGCTAATTTTAAGACCACAAAGGTTTTCAATAACGATTGTTTTCGAACGAGTGCGTTTTCTGTAATCGCTGTTAAGACACAATTTATGTGTGCTTTCGAATGTTCGCGGAATGTAAACTGCAGACGATTTATGATACGCAAACAACCAAATGGATTGGAATGTTCTTTTTACATAGAAGGAGAAAATTGTGCAGCTATTCCAGCTTCTGAGTGTTCTTGCTACATGAAGGTAAACGACGTCTTTTTGAAACATTCACTATATAGGGGCTACATTTTGGGAACATGTTAATTACATAGTAATTTGACTGTAAAGTATATTTGAGTATAATATGACCCGATTTCTTTAGTTGGTTGAGTCAATTTAGTCATCCAGAGTAGTTGTTGTCACAATCTGTGGTATGAAATCTGACAATATGCCTATTAAATGTAGCCTAGTTATCTCTTCGCGCGAATAGGTAACGTAAATTATTTCAAATTGACTACGGTGGCCTAATGTGGGTTGAGGTCCCTCCCCTGGGATTTTTTTAAACATAATATATGAAAATATTGAAACAACATCACCCTCTGCTTTGGTTTGCAACAACTTCATCAGATGTTTAGGCTCAGTTTCCCATTTTGATAAGTGACCCATTGAATAACCTAAATTGATGGAATTGTCATGGAAACATATGTTTGTAAATGAATTAATGCTCCAATGAGGAATTTTCTACGTCATTAAAATTTTTCAAGATACATTGCAAATACAAATTTGCATTGCAAGCTAAAGGTGTTGCTGTTGCTATGGAAACCAAAATATTAATTTGAAACGAGGTTAAAGTCATACCCCAATATCTGCTTGTATGTTTAAGGTAGATTATATTTAACATTAGTAAGACCGAATTGAAACTAAAATACTCAGTTTACTTCACGTCATCCCTGCTTTAACGTTAATTATAGTATAAATTTAACATAATTTTAAAGGATTTTTCTGATGAGATTTATCAGATAAAATTCATTTTGGAGGTTATAATAAGACTAATGACGTTTTTCAATTTGTTATCAATCTGAATATAGAAATAGAAAACATATAGTCATTTTCAGATTGCCTCAAAAATATGACTTTACGTGAATAATGACGTTACTCACTTTTCGCGAAGATGCCTTCAAGGATAACAAATTGATGCTTATCAAATTTCGAGTAAAACGATTCAATTATTTATCAAATCGGTTAGTTCTGAAAAAGTTTTGCATATATTTCGTTCATCAGTCGCTATATTGGGTCTCCAAATTTAATACCCTAGTACCTGCCTTCAATGTGAAATGTTTTTTAGTGAGTCCCGTTTTTATCCAATGTTAACATGGATATTCTGAAAGAATAGGGATGGTGCCAGGTGAGCCCCTCCAGCCCACGGACTATATTTATAGTCTAATGTCTACTGCGTGAAAGCGACCACGTTGAAAGTGCAAATATTGAAAGACGAGTTCGAAATAACTCCAGAATCGTGATTTTGTTGATATTTGGATTGTGCACATACGAGGGAATTTGAAAATATCGTGTATGCATATATATATATTTAATATTCACATGTGCTTTACATTTTCCCAAATGTGACCCTCTGTCCTTAGTAATTGAGAAATTCAAGGAAACTGAATCAAGGTAATTCTGCAGATATTCTGTGTTCTGAGATAAATTCATCCTTAAATAGCATGTTAGGGGTATTTCAATAATCTTGACATTATTTTATGTTGTAGACTTATAGCAAGCTGAATCAAACCACGATTTGTCCCTTGGGATTATATGGGAGCAGTTGCGAAAATACCATAAAAGGTATGTTATCATCTTTTTATGACCCTGATCTATTTTATAATCAAAGTTTTCCATAAAGAACAGATCGCTATGAAATATTCTTTTGTGCCAAGGGGGATGGTGTGTCTTTTGGATGATTTCCCGTGTGTTTTTTGATTATCCTTATATGTATCGACCATAAATGGATTAATTTATTTTTACTTCAATATACCAATCATTGGAAATAAGAACCTTAATATCGCCTCTCCGGCAAAGATGAATCCTAGTACAGGGTCTCAAATGCTTTTCTTAGTACTTTGGTTATTGTTCGTATCACAAAAGGGACAGGTTCAAGATTTCCCAGGGTTGATTTAGGTCTTGAATATATATAAATAGTCTTCAGAAGTACTAGAAATAAACGAAAAGTCGCATAGTTCCTTCAGTCTATTTCTAAGTCTTTTTGCCTTTCAAACGCCGATATTTGTGGACACATATGGACTTAAAGGCTCAAATTTAGACGGTGAGCTGTGAACACTATTACTGATTAGCTTAGATTTAAAATATTCCAGTTTCTGAGACTAAGGTACGATTGGTCTAACGGATATTTGTCCCTTTAAATATGAAGCCAATAAAGTTTCCTTTATCCACAGATTGTGATGATGGATATGATCGTGGAATGGGTGGATTCAGCCGGTGGGTTCGATTCTACATCAATCCAAAAATTGAATCGAGCACATCGTTCGAGGTAGTATGCAGATTTCATCTTAGAGGTTTCACTTTATTTATGTCTCGCGATAGAGGTTGCAATGCATTCTCCTTCAACAGAAATATGGCAGAATACGTTGATGGTTTTGGAGACGCTGATAGTGATTATTGGTTAGGATTAAATAGAATTAAGGAGATTTTAGACAACCATTCACAAAACAGATTACTGGTTGTACTCATTGAAAACCAATATTGCGAAAATTATTATGATAATTTCTCCATTGCTTCGGCCTTCGATAAATACGCACTACATCTTGGACAATACGAGTCATGGACAGCTGCTAATTGTGGAGATTCCTTTAAGAACAGTGTAAATATTGAAGGATCTAGTTTTTCGGCGCCTGGTTCCGATCAAACCTCTTTCAACTGTGCTGGTACTCATCAAGGTGGTTGGTGGTATGCTAATACAACAAGTTGTAGCGAATGTGATTTAACAGGCTCCAGAGACTTTATGATATGGCCTACAACACTCGGCGGTGCACCACAAAGATTTGTTGGGTTATTTATTACTAAAAATGGTTAGAAAATTAATTATCAAGCGACATTTATAGCTAAAGATCACATTGAATACGGAGAACAATTATGTAGTATATTACTCTTGGATTTTATTACATGCACTTTTCAGCAATCTACATTGTCATCATCTGTTGAAACTAGTTAAAAATAGAATAATGAGCTAAAATAGTTGATTTGAAAAACAAAATCATTTTTCATTAGTCCACATTTATCTTTGGCAAAAGAGAAAAAAATGCTTGATCTGAAAAATCATCGCCACTTCAACATTTATAATTGGTCTCTATTTTAGACATTCATTATATTTATAGTTTCAATGTTTAAACAAAAGGACGCCACGACTTCACAGTAAGTTTTAAACTAAAGCGATTGTACAACGTCCTCGTGATGTTCCCTTAGAAATGACGTTATATGACAGATTAAGAAGGAGAGAGTATCGATCTGGTAATCCAACTATCATACTACGGGTTTTCATAAGGTTGTAATAAGCCGTTTTAAGATAAGCTCGCTACACATCGTTGTGTGAACGTTGACTTTAAACTAGTAGAACAGAAATGAAAAAAGGAAGAAGGCCACGCAAACAAAACACAGTACGGTTTCGATTTTTTGCCAGTTTCATTTCTTTACAGAAAATCTTACTCAATTCCTTATCGTCCATATTAATCAAAACCTTTAATGAAACGCTGCTTTCGTTTTGTTAACGTTCGCGAACACAGTGTCTAGAACGAATGATTTGATTGGCTGACATTCCTAAAAAGTTTTCAGAGTCAATTTTGATTGGAGAATATTTAGCTATGAATACGTAATTTCCTTCATTCGTATTACCACAATCTCGAGTATGACGAATGAATGGGAACGTGGTTTGGACATGATGATCAACCAAGAGCACTGCGAGGATGTGGTGCAATAGTCAAAAGAACCTTTTGATCATTTTCCAAACAACGTTATAACGTAACAATACATCTGTTTTTACAATAGTTATAAATTGTCAACATTATATAATTGTCTACCACTGAATAAAGATATATAAAATATTAAGATTATTACTATTATAATTGTTCTTATTATCATTTTCATTATTATTATATAAAAATGTCCCCGGGTTCATTTGCTACTGGGTTGCAATTGTTTACTTTCAATAATAATGGGTTTATTGATTTACCTATGCATGTACAGTGAAATATTTTAATTTTTTTCATTATTCAAAGATTGATCGAAGTATGTAACAAAACATAACCTTTCGAATATATAGAAATCTTTGTGGCCTATTCTGGAGACTGTGTCTGGTATTCTAATTACTGTTCTAGGCTTCGTATGTCAACAGACACTGGGCAGGAGGGGGGAGGGGCATTTGAAAAATGGCTTGCACCTCCATTTGTACGCCTAGTTTATTTTATTTTTTACAAACTAAAAATATGATTCATATACGTCTTTACCCCAGAATGTCAGAATGCACCAAATCAATTCAATTTATCGAAATTTTTCTTGGGACGCAATAACGTCCCAATTACATTTTCCCTCGGTCAGTATTTGTTTCGCATACCCGACAGAGAATCACAAGCGGTGTAAGATCCAACATCATTCGTACCAAGAACAGCTCTCTGTTGTAATGAACTTATATTATGTTAGATCTTTCCCAGCTGTAGTGGAGAACTTTTCAGAATCCAAAGAAATCGAAGAAATCTTTCTTTGGCACTTCCTTGCCTTGCCAAAAGATGTTCATTCAAATGTTTGCATTTTGAAAATAAACCAAGACATGAAATGAAAGGAGTTTTACGTCTTATTTAGAAATAAGTAAAAGCCAAAACTAGCTACATGAAAATGCAAAGCCTTTGATAAAGGTGAACTATTTTCATTTTTATGGAACAACTTCATAGCATGTATTAATATTAATATTACAGTTTGCCGGAGAGTAGATGATTTCCGATACAGAAGATAAACTAAAGTGAGATAACATAATTTCAAAACTTCACAGAATATTACCCACATCAGATCCATCCGCGATTCTTTTTTAATAAGACTTCCAAAATTCTGGAACACATTGTGGTTTGTAGATTCGTATAATGGGTGATGTCCCTTGAGTATTTATACTTTTATCACTGGAACAATGTCTTAAGGATGGAATAATTCCACACTGTTAAAATATAGCAAATTGAAAATACATTTGAAGTTACAAATCATAGACAGTTTTGCCCTAAAAGAGATAATGATAAAAGAAAATGTGGCGAGACAAGACTCGATGAAAGACAAAGATTGAATAATATTGCCATGCCGACAAGTGACCCCCACTCAATCACCAGTTGCTTATGGTTGTGAATAAGAGAAGCGGTCATAACATTTTAAGGCAACTCTCCAGACCGAAACATATGTCTCTATTCCAGCCTCTAATGGCTCTTTGGACAGATGTCTGGCTGGCGCAGAGGCACAAATACTAGGCCCTGTAAAATGGAGACTTTCCGTATATCTACAGGTGTGGGAGTTTTAAACCTATTTAGATACCTCGGATCTGCAAAACCAAGATATCATTGAATATTATTGTAGTCCTGTCATACCATCATTTCCTCCCTACACCATTTGACTCTACAGTATTCACACGACGTTATCAACGATTATTCAAAATAAAAAGTTTCTTAAAATGACGACTAGTTAAAATAACTTTCAAGCATAGATTCACCTGGATTTTAAGGCTCAAATTTCGACGTTAAGCTGTGAACAATATTACTGATTAGTTTATGGGAACAATTCACGTTTCCGAGAACAAGGTATGATATTAATTTCACGAGTCATGTCAGGTTTACTTGTTATTAGTAGTGATGGCTGATTAGGAACCAATATTGACTTCACAATGAACTAAAAAGTTAGCTTCTGAAAACATCCTCGAGGGATAATAGATCTTCGTCATAGACTGGTAATCGACAAATATCTTTGCTTTTTTGCTTATTGATCGTAAACAACACGTCATTAACATCGTACATTTTAAAAGATAGGTTATGCTTGAGAGACAGGAGTTGCTTGTACCAAAATATAGTTTAAGTAAAGATAGATTGAACAAGAAGAACAGGTCGATTAGAAAGGTAGTTAAACAGTTACCTTGAATATTTCAAATAGTATCATCAAAAACCATTTTTCTAAAAAAAGAACTTTTATCCTAATGGTGCCACTGAATACAAGACAACTGACTGCTGAAATCCATTGACAATCCTAAGTTGATATATTTATTATATTTCGAGCGCGATAACACTAAAGTTTTGATTAGAAAATTGTCAATTTCGAACTTGACTGAGATATGATCATTAGCATACCCATTCATCAAAACACATTAGAGTTTTTGCTAAACAAGGGCAATAACTCAAAAACCATTCATGAAATCATTGTTACAATTAAACTTGGACCTAAACTCTGTCGTGTCTATAAAGCCAATTGTATAAATACTATTATAGCAATCAAATCAGATCAGATTGCTCGACACTTTTCAACTTTTTTTATAATGTTCAATTTTTGTACCCTCAGAACATTCTTTTAACAATGTTTATTTGACGGAATCTTATGGATTTGCCATCCTCTTTACAAGAAATGTTTCTGGACCAGCGTTATATTTATGGAAAGCGCGAAATCATTGTCTAGAACAAAGAAATTCAGTCGATAATCAAATCGAATATATTAAATAAATTGAATTAAACGTCGACCACCAGAACAATATTATACCGAGTTATCTGAAGACTTCAAAATGTACTTGAGAAGACAGGATTTGGTAAATGGCTTAGGTGATTTTTCGCACTTTAAAAACACTAAAGTTCTCACCGATAAGTGTTCATTGACCGATGCAATATCAGTTTTGGACTCATCAAACATTTTTACCTGCGCATCGGAATGTTCATCCAATTCCAATTGTAGAAGGTTTATGACTTGCAATCAACCCAGCGGAGTTGAATGCTCTTTATACTACGAAGGAGAAAACTGTGCGACTGCACAACCTACTGGCTGTTCCTGCTTTATGAAGGTAATAGTATCTTTAATTCATTTATTGAATATTTGGTACAAAATATGTGAAAGCAGAATACGTGCCAAGTTTCCAAGACAGACTTCTTCCGCATTCATTATAATGTGAAGACTTAGTTATATTACCACTTGAATAATTTTAACAGTGTCCTTATTGAGACTAATTGCAGTAGTTCAACTACCATAGGGATTGGTGGAACCAAGTCCACTGGCCCACCTGTGTTAGAAAATAATCCTGGCAGAGGCGCCCCAACTCACTTGAGTCTATGGGCCCCCGCTCTTGAAAGTACCGCTCTCGATCTGAGTCCACACCCTAAGCACACCCTTGATTTTTTAAAGGCCAAGTTATCGTTATCTACAAGTTTTCTTGATATGAAACAACTGTGAGCTGCATATCACGAAATACTTACAGCAAAAAATATTGCAGTCATTTGATGACATCTTCCATCCTATACGTTAGAGGAAGTTCCATGTTTAGAGTTCAATTAATATATATTTTTTTAAATAGAACATTTAAAAGTAAAAATGAAATTTTGCTCTGTGGTACTCTGTCAGTCTCAATCAAATGTTTTTATTGTAGACATTCGGTCTGTTCAACGGTATAACAGTTTGTCCTATAGGTTTATATGGAGACAATTGTGAACATGTTATGAAAGGTAACTTTATTATGTTTAAATAAATGCTATCAATGTCCCCGATTTAGAATGTAGAAAACCGCTTTGCAATCCCTAAGTGGGATATCTCAATCGCCACCAACAAGTACAATCATTGAATGAAACATAGACATAATAACTGCAACTGAGGTGATATTATTGTCGTGTACCAGAAAGTAACCAATGAAAAGTCATATTGATGGCACTCTGCGATTTAAGTTGTCGAATTCTCATCATTTTCGAATGGTTTACATAGCAAATATTGCTTAATTGATCTATTCATTACACACCGGTACGCGAATGACCTTGCTGGTGGAAAAGATTGTCCCATTCAAGTCTACATATACTATAATGAATT